CATACATTTCATCAACTTTTATCAAAATTTGCTAAAAAATAATTTTAATTTTCACCATATAGGGGCTAATTATTTAAAGCATGGAGCAAGGAATTTTGACTATGGAAAGTGGCGACAATGAATGTTTATTTTAAACCATATCAAAATGTATCAAATATTAGCCCATGTTTGACAACCATTCTTTAAAAATTCTTTTATTTATATATTCATTTTTAACAATACATTCTTACAATAAAATATTTTTACGTAAACCTAAATTAAACTTTTTCATATTTTTTAATTACACTTTATTCAAAATTTTACTATTCAAAAACTCATTCTTACCCAAAAAAATAAAAATAAAAAAAGTAAATAAAAAAAATGTCAAAATGGGCTTCATATGAAGAGAACAAAAATCTAAAATAAAGTAAACGATTGTCTACCAAATGATATGTACATAATGTTCAAAATAATAAACAGAAACAACGACAAGGATGCCTTTACTTTTCATACTATTTCCCCGATTTTGCGTCGGTAATTTAATATTTAATAATTAATTGTTTTATATGAACTTCATTTATTTTTGAATTATTGCTATAGAATATGATATAGTTTTATAAGGTAATTTGCATTTTTATATGCAATATCAGGTGAGCTGTAGCAATCAGGTTAGTCCATGACGACAAAGAACGATTTGTTATATGAAAAATATCTGTCTTCATAACGGAGCAAATGGACTTAATTATCAAAATCAACTAGTTGACTAAATATACGATGGCGAATCATATTAGATAGCTTGAATTATTTTATCAAAAGAAGTAATCATCTCATTAATATTTCTTTACCATATTCGAGTCCATTATTCAAATTCAATGACTTTCATGAGCTCGACAGAGATAAAAAGAACCGTGCACTGTGATATTTGTCAGTGTAAAATTCAAAAAATATAGTGACTTCTACTAACATGAACAAGAAGCCAAACGTTACAACAACTGAAAGTGTGCATCTTATCATAAAATAAACTAAAAGAGGATACGATCAAATATTTATAAACCTTTTCAACTTTAAGCTTTTTAGCTGGTTTCGTTGCGCTTTGATTAGACAAACCTAATTTGTAAAATGACGTATTATTTAAATACTAAGATAGGGGGCATATTGTCCACAATAATCTAAATATTATTTGCAAAAGCAGCCTGATAATGACAGATTTTTCACCTTTTGTGGAAAAGTTATTCTATTACAATACCACCAAAAGCATTGAGCATGAAGGATACATATTATACAAATTTCTAATCTTGCATGTTAATAAATGTCTTGAGAAATAGAAAAACTTTAATTCTATTTCTATGCCATCCAACATAACAATATTGTATAAAGAAAATAGACACGAAAATACGCAAGATTTATATAAATTCATCTCAATATAAAACGTTAGGAATATTCTAAGTGTACATAATGAACACCATAATGGTGTCCATAATGTCGAGGTGGCGCCCCCTATTGGAGGGGGAGCCTGTGGGCCTGGCGCCTCCTCCAATGGGGAGGCGCCATCTCGGGATTATGGTCACCATTATGGTGTCCATTATGTACCCTAAGAATGGTCCAAAATGTTATAATTTTCATTGCTGTAGAAATTCATTATGATAAAAATAAGTTTACAAGAGAAAAATTCACATTCTATTTTCTCTAACCTTCCTCTCTTTCTGATGATTTGATTTCAAAATACTAATGACGGCTTATTATTTATAAGAAAACTTAGGATAAAACCAAAATTACAAGTGTGAAATTTCGTATTTATAAGGTGAATTCGAGTGCAAACTCTGTACAACGATGATAAATAGGCTTCATTAGTAGACTTGTTATCTTGTGATTACGCTACAAAATCATCACTGGCAACGATTACCATAAAAAGAATTCATATATTTATTCTCCTTTTCATTCATTTATTCTTGTACTTGACAACTTTATTTTTTAGTAATGGATGGTTACTCCAAAATATGATGACCTGAGTTATAGAAAATGTAATACTTCATTGAAGGTAAAATTACAGGAGTTGAGCTTGGTGTATATAATTTGAGGCATTGGGGGGCGTCCACACCCCTGGGTGTGAACACCTCCATGTACATATTTTATGAACACCAAGAATTATCCAAGTTATACTTTCAATTTTCGTCCCCTCAATTACAATCAATGTATCTTCGCTCCGTGTGCTTCAAAAATAGTTTACTTAACAACCACTTCATTTACATAGATGGAGTCCAATAATACAAACACCTACGCCAACCCACCTAAGTCCCCACATATGGCATGCTATTGCACAATTTTTCTCCCCTTAATCTAGTGAAAGCTTCCTATACACATAGAATTTATTTACATCGAAAAGATAACATTGTACGATGACTAAAATATCAAAAGCGAGGGCAAAAGTACTGGGAGAAAAGTCTCAACTCCAAGCTAACGCCAAATAAAAAGGGTCTCGAATATAGTTTTTGATGCGAAGACCCACTCGTGTGAGTGACTTGAATGCTAGTGCAAGTGCGCTCAAATATATGGTCAACCCGCATTGTATGTTCACACTTCTCATGTATAGATCCTTTCTATGTCATAAGAGGTGGCAAAGCAGCCGAAGAACCCCCCCGTGCTAGAAGTATGCCATTGATTTAATCATGATCCAGTTTTGGGGACACATTAGAAGTTGGAAAAATGGTTTTGAGAAGATTGTTGTACCATTTGCAAATCCGTAGTCGCTTGGCACAAAATATCGTCCCCAATAAAGGTCCTGAAACATTTAATCAAGATAATAATTGATAATGAAATACGATAGGACCTTAATTATTTAATTAAGAATATGATTTATAACTAGATACAATTAAGAAGTATACTAAAAGGGTACAAGTGAATCTTACTCTCTTGGACGAGATGCCCACAGTGAACTTAGGGCTCGTAATCGACCATAATACTCCCCAATTACTAGGAAACATCGTGCTGCCTGTCGGACTGTCAATACACGGTGTAGTTGATGAAGTGTTTGTTGTCTCAAATTGTCAGCCTAAAATTCAAAAGTTACATATATATATTAATAACATACCATAAAAATGCATATAAAAACTCAACTTTGTACGATTCAAATTTGTGTAGATACATAACTATCAATGAAACTTGTGATGGATCCGAAAATCTAAGAATGCATAAAACTCAACTGAATTGATACAATAACAAACTAAGCATTACTCTCAATAAATATATATAACGTTAGGCTACATGAATGATGTCTATCGAATCCGTAAAAGTCAAGTTTTTAATCAATCCATAACTATCAAATGATGGAAACCATAACCATCAATGAAACTTGTGATGGATCCGAAAATATAAGAATGCATAAAACTCAATTGAATCGATACAATAACAAACCAAGTATTACTCTCAATAAATATGTATAACGATAGCTAAATGAATGATGTTTATCGAATCCGTAAAAGTCAAGTTTTTAATCAATCCATAAGTATCACAATGGAAATTGGGAAATGCCCAAAAATATAAGATGCACAAAATTCCAATGAATCAATAAAATAACAAACTAAGCCTTGTTCCTGATTGCAATAAATATAGTGTATGCTACATTGATCATTCATTTTATATCAATCCATAAGCACCATAATGCATGGAGAAAGCTCCAAACAAATTTTCAAAGGGATTGAAACCCCCATATTTGGACTATTGCAATCATTGACTTAAAAATATATACAATTTTTCCAAGTTTGCAACTATTTTATTCACATTATTCCCAAATTCGCATTTTAAAAAAACTCTGCTGATAGGTCTAGCAAGGGCTTTTATTTGATTATGCTTCGCTTTCAAACAAGCTTGGATGTTAACAGATAATTAAAATAAAACCCCCATCAATTCAAAGTAAAATAGACATTTCTCATATAAAATGCTGAATAATGACAAAAGATGATATAAAATTTTGATCATCTGAACTCTTGGTCACGACCTACTTCGTCTAAAAGTTTTACACATATTTTGAAGCATGCATAATTTCGGAATTCAAGTCTTACCATCACTAACTTGTCAAATCTCACGTCCGGAATCTAGACTACGATTGAGGGGCATGTTGAAAACAGTATAACAGAGTAAATTTGAGGTTAAAAACCATGATAGTCTTCAAACTTAAAACCCCACACGCCTTCATCGAGTACTCTAATAGAAAATCTTATGTGACAAATGAAAAGTGTAACGTGGAAGTTCAAGACGTTAAATTTTACCTGACGGACGAAACCTTCAAGATTCGTAAGCTTGCCAAGTGCAACGGCCATGTGATGCATGCTATCATTAACAGAACCGCTGGCTATGGTATCGGTTAAAGATTGCTGTAGCTGTTCCAATCCCTGGGAGAGAGCCCCTTCTGCCTGTTCTGTGGACCGTTGGAGGTTGTAAATCCCCATAACTTGCTGCTCTGTTAAGGGGTCTAGTTGTGCTGTTAACATCTGATCATCAAAATCATAAAAGGAAAAACAACTTACTTAGAATAAACTGAATGCAAGAGGATAAAGGAGACGAAACAATTAGATTATATGACATGTTTGATAAGGTGGTTAAACGACACTAGACAAAATCAGATAAGAAAAAAGAGTTAAAAGTTTGTTTTTATGTTGTCGAGTACAATTTACCAAATGTATAGTAGAAACGTAAATTCAAACCTTGACGAGTTCAGATGGACGAAAACCGCCCATCCAGAGAAAACAACGTTCAGCCGGAGTAGTCCACATTCCGGTTATCAGATGAAAGACATCAGATTTAGCAGCCACTCCTTTTAGACGAAAAATTTCATCGTAATGCGTTATGTATCCATCTAGTATTACCCTGAGATCACCATCTGATAAGTGTGCTTGCAATGCTGTTCGAATTTCCGTCATATGCTTGTGATCATCTTCTAACCATCTGGCATATTCCATATCAAATATTGCAGCACCTACAGTAACATTCGTGTTTCGGAAGTGTAAAGGCATAATCCAAAAAGTAATTCAATTCAATTAAAACTTAAAAATGGGCACAAGAATTTCAAATAATGATCTGCTAAAACGAGCAACCATCTTGTTGGGAGAATGTTAGCGATAAATCCCAAATCGAATAAAGATGGGTTTGAACTACACATTTTAATAAGATCAGTCTTTTAAAATGAAATCCCAACTCTTAGTAGGAAAAGTCAAAATTATTGTTCAATCTCCAACTTTCCAAAAAGTGGCGTTGAGCGTGCGCTTACTTCTAACATGTACCATCTTAGATTTTTACTATAATGAAAGAGGAGAGTACGAGATATTGTCACATCTCTCGTACCCTAATGTATCATAGAAATCAACCGTGTAGTGTAATTAATCTCCATAGAATCTAACGATATATACTTAGGACATCATTAAACAACACAAAGGGACAAGTTCTACCAGCATCTATAATGTCATTTACATTCTTTTTGCCATTTTAAGCTTCGAATGTTATTCATAATAAAACTGAGACGACGTGTCCCGAATAAAGAAAATCAAACTGCATTAAGATGAGTTGTACAGAACTAGTTGGCTTTCAATCGAGGATAGGTACATTTACTTTCCCCGTGCAATAGTCAATTGTGCGATCTTAATCTTTTATCAGCTCTGACCAAACAAACCAAACGTAGAAAAAACCTAGGACACCTGTTCTGACTATGTAATAAATCCTGCAAACCAAGTCAAATGTATATTCTTTTTTCTTGAACGTATAATTGACATTTCATTATAACTTATGGAAGTGGACATATTTTAGTCAAATGCAGAAATTATTCTTAATTTCCAACTTAAAAAGCAAAGAATAATCTGCTTTGAAATCTATTGTTGCTTAATTTGACCGAGTTTTGGATTTTCGGAGGATTCAGATTAAAGGATGCTGCTTAAAGTCAAAACTTCGGCTCATTACGAGGAAATTTTTTTATTTTTTCATTTAAAATGCTTTTTTTTTTCTATGTAAAATGTTTTAAATATGTATCTTTATTGTAAAATGTATTATTCTTTTTCGATTAAATTGACCCATCTTGATCATTTTCTCAAATGTAGCAGAAACGATTAGACTTACCAGAACTAATATTACCACCAGCACCACCGCCTCCTCCCATGAAAAATCCCTGCAGTTCATCACATTAAGGGAAAAAAAAAGGATACCCGAAAATTCATTTTAGGGCATTGAAAATTTATATATGATTAATTTTTCAAAAGAAATTCTTATTTACAAATTAAATATTTTATTTACTTGTGAACGTGCTCTTTGAAGGTCCTGCTCTAGCTGGCTGAGCCTTATCCTACTCGATTCTAGCTGCTGTACATAGGCCTGAACCAAAAATTAAATAAGATAAATAAACTTATATATGTGGCTTAAAAAAGAGTTTTCAAATTTTGCATATAAGTCGATATCTAATTTTGTAATGAGAAATTGGTACCCACCTTTTTTCTAAGCCTGCTCTTCTTTGCTGCTTCCCTATTTTGAGCCAAACGTCTCAATGTCTGTAATGAGTGAAAGAAAGAGTTATCAGCTTCAAGATTTAACATTTCTTCTAAATTAATTGCAGATTGAAAACGCATTTCAGTGCAGTAATAAATTAAAAAATATACATAAGAATAGTGGTATGGGTTCCTAAACCTTTTTTGTTGGCATTTAACTCTCGTCTTTTTACTTTTTAGATAGCAAACAAAGGATTGAAGACCTCAATTCCGCTACAGTGCCGAATTTTTTTTGACAAAGGAAGTAATCAACTTTTACAATAGTGGGGCCCCACTTTTTTTTGGACTTTTTTATTCGTGTGGAACCCACAACATGTGAGAGAATGTCAACTATTCGGGCAAACTAACTTTATTCATATCGGAATAGTATGAGTTCACAATCTCACTGTCTAAATTAAATAATAAAAATATTAACTAACATTAGACGATATGGTAATAACTCTACGACCGACTAAGCCGATATTAATCAAAGTTTCGTAATATGAATTATTCCTTACTCCTCAGTCTTACCTTGGCATCAAGCATTCTCTCTGAATTTGAACCAGCACCCCTTCTCTGCATAATTAAATAAAAATAAATAAAATCAATTGCTAATTAATATAAAGAAAAATCAAACTAGTAATCATTAGACAATGCCTAGGAATTTTCAGAGTTAATTTGTATAGATAATAATGATGATGATGATGACTGAATATCTACATCTACATGGAGATAATGAAATGTTTTCCATCACCAGTCACACCCTTAGATTTGGTTGCCCAAAATCCCAAAAAAGCTAGCGCAAAAGCCTAAAAAGAGGAGAAGAAAGTTTCTTTGTACGTTTTTAAACGAGAGAAAATAATTAAAGAATTCTCAACTTTATACGAATGTCATGTGCACGGTTTTTATACTACTAGAAAATTATATAATAGAATTCTTTTTTCAAATCCAGTATTCGGAATTGGAAATGGATGTTATGTTATAGTGTTTACAATAGATAAACTACAGTACTGGAGATAAAAAGTAGAGTGCACGTTAAAATAATATAATATAAAATAACTCAGAAAGTAGAAGTAACAGTTTAGCTGCTGCAAAGATACACTTTTTTCATTACATGT